TACAAATCTCCGAGCTGACAGTAAGGAGGTCTTTGGTAGAGATTTCCATCTTCACTTCTAAGACTTGGTTTACGAGACATCTGGTAGCAGCCACTTCATCAAAACTGCTCTGGTATCGAAATTGGGGTGTGGGAGTTGTTGTAGGCTTAGATTTCCTGGGATCTGTGGGATTAGAGACAGCCAGGCTTTTACTAATGGTTGGGTTCTCTGTAACATGGACAGGATCATTTTGAATGGAATTAATGACTGGCCTGGGGGTGGATGATGCATTAGCAGGTGCTGGACTTGTCGCAGGGTTTTGCTGACAGCAGGCCAGAATTTCTACACTGTCAAAATGAGCAGCCTTCTTCTTGATATTATTTTTCAATTCTTCTACTTCCACATAAGCTCTCGCCAGGGCATGTTGGTCTTCTTCATTGGCATTCCCCTCTAGTTCTTCATCAATTAGGTAGGAGGAGGGATGTAGGTTGACCTGAAACTCCATGGATTCTTCATTAGTGAAGAACATTGTGCTGATGAGATGAGGTGAGGTATCACGTCCTCAAGATGAGTTTGATGACTGGCTAGGACGTTGTATGGAGACAAGGTTTGCTGAAGTGATGATAGAATTGCACATGGCAAGGAAGTTGTCGATCTTTTCTTTAAAGTTCTGGCCAGCAGCCATCCTGGGAATGTCAGAACCATCAGGCATAAATACTCTTCCCCCTATCAGGGTGCATTTCCCAGCTTGTACATATTCACAACACAGTGTGCACTCTGCCATATGGTGACCATCAGTGCTCCTGCAGAAGAAACACCATGGGTCAAAAGAGTGACAGAATTGGGCATCTTGACCTTGCTGAGGGGGTGACATGTTGGTAGGTTGTTGGGTGACTTGGATGTACTTGTGTTTTAAGATAGTGGGGACAGTTGACGACGAAGGGGGTGTGGAGTTCTGGGGAAACAAAGCCGAAGAATCAGGCTGGGGGAGATTTTGTTTTGCTCCACTGAGTAGGTAGTTAGCATGCTTGTAGACCAGATTGAGCACCCAAGGTTTGTTGATGTTGTGATCTAGGTCTGAAAGTTGCAATCACATGAGCAAGGAATTCCAGAACCTTGGGGGAAACCCCTCAAGGAATTTCTCATTGATGTAGTCTTCAGGGAGCTTCTTCTTCTTCTGGATGAGGCCCAGGATGTGTTGGAATTTCTGGACATATTTACTGAGATCTTCCAGCGATCCCATAGGTTTCTGGACTTGATGGTAGAGTAGGGTTTCCAGGTTGGCTTTGGTATAGTGGCGATCTTGCACTGAGGCACCTGGATAGTAGTTCAGGAGTTCTTTGGAAAATGCATCCCAGTCATTGAAGCCATTGGTTGCAGCATCTAAGGTGGACCAAAATTCCACCTCATTGTGATCGGTGTAATGGATGACCCAGTGGATTTTATCCCTTCCAGTGTCAAGGCCAGCTTCAATGCAGAGTTGTGCAACATCTTCAAGGTAGCGAGTGATGTCTTCAGTATGACCAGAAAACTTCAGCGCTTTGTTAGAGCCCCTAAGTGGCATGTCTCTAGCTCCGGACATTATGCAAATGGATGCAGAATTTAAGAGTGGGGTGACTGAGGTATTCTGAGTGCAAACTTGGGCAGGGGAAACAATAGTGGGATTTAAAGTGAGCGATTGCAAAGGGATAAGGAGTTGTTCAGCAGCGAGTTCAGAATTACTAGATGAGGAGCGCAAAGAAGAGGTTAGTTCTGAGGGAGGCAAAAGTTCTTGATGCTCTGTGGGAGGATTGAAGGGTTCATCAAAGTCAAAACCTCCTGGAAACGCTGTCACACACCAAAGGTGTTTGGTGAGGTGGACATGGATGTAGCTGATGAATGGAGGTGAAGACCATAGCCCTCATGTAAAGAAGGACAGCCAGCAATGTCGGCAGTCATCCCTTGCACAAGAACAAGTTGTCGGTGCCAAAGAAAAAGGAGGAGGCAGGTTAAGCGCCAATAAAGTTCTTAAGCGCCCATGTACAGCATTCTGGTTTTCAATGTATCTCCACCAGTTCTGCAGACACTGAAACCATTCCCACACTCGCTTGTAGTGCTCAGCCACGTGATCCTACCTTCCAAGATTGGAAAGGATTTGCGCACTCCACATGTTTCTACAGTGCTCCCTCCAAAAGACACTCATTTCACTAGTTCTTCTGATATGGCTGCCTCCACATCAGTCATTTCGCTTGTCCCCTTTGCTAGGGACCATGGCTACATATATCTACCAGGAGTTCCTACCAGCTTCCATCCTGAAGCGTCCTGGTACATCCCACCCTCATCTGACCCCTCTCAGCCCATCCAGCTTGGACAGCATGTTCTTTTTGTCAGTATGACCTCCAGGAGGATGTTCTTTGGTCGCCTCAGGTCTGTCGTTCGCTTGGAAAGGTCTTATGTGGTTGTTTCAGTCTCTCCAGTCCAAGAAGCATATGGATCCTTCCTCCCTGCCCCCTGCAATGTCTTCATACCAGTCTCATCCATCATTCTTCCAAAATTGCAACAGCTACAGTATAATCTACTGTTCTCCACTCTCCCTGATCGCATCCATGACAAGTATGATGCACATCTTGCCTCCTTGTTGCAAGATACAGCAGAAGATGCTCCCCCTTCATCCTCTCTTCCAACAGAGCCTCATTCATGAAGTTTTTATTTGCTTCACTGAGAGGATGGTTTGGGGGGGAAAGTTGCGATCCCCTATGCTCCTGTCACCCCACAGACCCCCAAAGCTTGACCCCTGTTGACATCTGACTCACCCTGTCCACTTTTGGATGTACTATATTGGCATCAGATCAGTGCTGCCTCTCTGTCATCCCACTTTGGCCTAGAAGCAATCTCTTCAAGATGTGACATGCACAGCCTCCCCTTAATGTGATTCCAGTGCGCTTTCTTGGTTCCTGACATTACTTGACTCATACTGTGACATTCTGACTGTCTTTGACTCACCTATTGCCAATACTTACCAATCTTTTGACTTTGCTTACTGATTCTTCACTTTTTGGCTTACTTATCCTTACCAATGCTTACCAATGCTTTCCAAGACGATTACCCATTGCTTACATTCCTTACTCATCAGTTACCAATCACTTACCAAGTGTTTGCACCTTGTTTTCCATAGGCAACACCCCTGTACTGTATATAAGTCACTGTACTTAGGTAGCAAAAAAAAAGAAGACATCAGAGAGCCCCTCTTGCTCGCAATTTATCATCTCTCAGTAAATCATTCATCAGCTTCAATAGTTGAGACTTTATTAAGGGTCTAGCTATCATCTACTTTGCTTATCATCATCTATCCTCCATATACTTTGCTCCAAGCCCTCCCTGAGCTCAGTACAGCTTAGGACATCAAATTAAGTCACCATCCATCCTTCTGTAGGCTGACAGCAGTCTACCCTATGGCTTTCTATCACATTCTTGCTCCCTTTTTGTCAGGAGCACCCCCAACCCTCAGCACTCATCTTTGAGTGTTGTAGCTTGCAAAAACCCTCCCAAAGAACAGGTTCTACCATCTAGGTACTGCATAGGCACACCACCACTTGCTTTCATTGTCTTTTGTGTTGGTTTTGGTTGGTTTTCACCACTGAACCACACTTTGACTCACAACGCTGGGTAAAATGCTGGGGACTCTGGGCTCTGGAAGATCTTGTCTAACCCAAGATCTGAGTCTGACAAGTGTGGCTCTGAAATATCTCTAGGATCAGTTACCGGAATTAAGATTTCTGATGAGGAAATAGATAGTCTGTGGAAGGGCTCTAGGAGCTCTTCAAGTTCAGTTCTTTGATGAGTGGGTCGTAAGGATCTCCTTTCCAGATCTACAGACCCCTTGCAGTGGGCTCCAAAATGATGTGGGACACTACCTCTGGGTAGCATGCAAATAGGGGGAAAGCTGTAGGGAAATCCCTAGGCTCAACCCAAGGGGTGCTGAGTAGGAAGGAGACGTATAATGCGATGGTAGAGACAGCTAGGAAGTTGAATGTAGGGTGCAGAAATTCGATCTGCAGGGCTGTGGACAATTTGGGTATGAATTGACTTGGTTATGAAATTCCGAGTGATGATCTTGAGGTGAAGAAGTAATTCTGAGATGAGTAAGACATGTGTTAGACACAGGGACACAAAGGAGGGGATGGACACGGGTGATGCAGATACACAGAGGACATGAAAGACACAGAAGATGCTGATATGCAATAGCCACAGAGGACACAGATGACTCTGTGAACACTTAGACTTGTGAATACACAGATTGTGACTCCAAAAAGATGGGTGGGATTTTTCCATCATTGAGGCAGAATTATATAGTACATGGAGAGTAAGGTACTGATCAGAGAAATGTGGGGTGGGAGAAGCAAAACTCCGAAAAATAAAGGGGATGACATGTCAGATGTCAAAGCCATACAGCAACGTGTGAAAACAAACTGTAAGGTAACAACTGAGAAAGACAAGGGGAAAGATGGGTATCTTCCGACAGGATGAGTGTACACTGTACTGTAGAGTGGAACGTGAAGGGTAGAGGCCATAGGTAGAAAGGGGTTCTCACATTGTGGAGAAAGGTTCACGGGAAAGGAATGAGAGGGGTAACTGGAGTTTTTACTGATGATCTGTGTGGATTCCTGGCTACATGGTGAGGCGAGGGTTGAGGCAACATGACTGTGGAATTCCGGATAGACAAATGTCAGGTTGATGTTGACACAGAATTTTGGGACAATGACTGATGTGCATTACTGATGGATAGGGAATCTCCGAAGGTTTGATGGGCGAGGTGGTGCACAAGGCAATGCATGAGGCAAATGGGATAATTCCGAAGACAACAGACATGGATGGTAATGGTGGAATTTTGGTGTTGGCTTCCCTATTTCGGCCTCAGGGAGTATACTACTCCCTACAGCAGTGAGCATAAATGAGCTGGATGACAATTTTAGGCATGTGGACATCTTGATATTTGCTAGGCTGATGAGAAGTGGATGAGCAACTCTGCCACCACATAAAGTAGTAATATTTGTCTTGTCTGAAGAAAGTATCATGCCAAGAAGAGTCACTCTGCTTGGAAGCTGTGACTGGGGTACATCAATTGAATAAAAGGATCTATACCTTGCAGTGGAAACATACCTGCATACACCAAGCATCATCAGTGGTCATCCACTCTGTATACACTCTACAAAGCTTCTCAGGTGTTTTGTATACATGCCTTGGAATGAAATTGAGCTGGTCAGAGAACAAAGGGTGGTTGAGGAGCCACACAATGCATTCCAGGGGATCACACCAGTACAAGTGCACAGGGTGTTTGGTTGGCTGCAAAGGAGTAATCTCCATTGAGCACCAGCATGGCCCACCAGGGAGTAACTCAGCCAGCCCATGAAGTGCTCTGGCTGTATGAAAGGAAATATTTAGTAGCTGTATCTGGTGCACATCAATAATGATCTTTGGAGAGAATAGGGACAGGCTTATGATTGACAATGACAAGAAAGAGTCTATAGCTCTCATGCTCAGGCCTGAATGAAGTAACCATGATGCCAGCTCCCATTCATTGTGGGAGTTGAAGGGGTAGTACAGATTTGATGCCCATAGGTTTCTGAACTAGTTGCCATTAAATTTGTCCATAAACATTGGGCCAAGTCCAAACATTTTAGCTGCACCCTTGAAGTCATCTGTGGTTGGCCCCCATGTGTCAAATGCCATATGAACAAAATCCAGGTAATTGTGAGTTGCATAGTCATCAGGGTCAGTGCTCATTGGGACAACTTCTAAGTGTGTTGGGTGTTGAGAGTTATGAATGTTCAAGCTGGAAGGTTGGAGAGACTCGTGAAGGCAGACTAAGTTATTGACCCAGGTATTGCACCCAGAGGATGGCTGGCTCATGTGCATTGCGACAGTGCTGTGACTCTGGAAGCTGCCTTTACTGCAACTTGGACAGCAGGGCATACTCTAGATGGTCAGACAGGCTGATTCTGTGTTATGTGATTATCACTTCAGTGCGAATCAGGATGTTGTTCAGATCGCTACAGAGTGTATTTGTCATATACTACCCAATCACATCCCATTTGTGAACATAGTCACTCATGTCTGTTTATAACCTCAATCACACACACCTTCATGCTGGATTGACCATGCCCATGGTTGAGCATTGCCCAGGCAGCAAAGGACTGCCCCATAAGCCTCATGATGGTGGGTTCTCTTCCTGCAACAGCCCCTCTAGCAGTGCCAAGGTCAAAGCAGAGACAACTGGTGTCTTAGCTGAGATGTATGGAATATTGGAGTTGTCCACTCACACAGTAAGTTCTTTTTTTCCTTCCTAATAACTGCTCATTGATATGTTTTCAATCTGCAGCATGAATCAAAAGGCTCTTCTCCTTCTCAATGTAGCACACACACAATGCAAAGTCTTTTGTGTGGAACAAGCTCTGGCTGCATGCATCACCCATGAATATGAATCAATGGCCAAGTTGTACAAGTACAAGGTGGGCAGCAGCGAGGTGAGAGTCCACAAAAAAGATATGGAGGTTGGCTCATTATGTGTAGCAATGAAAAAACATGGACTGGGGGAGCCTATTTTTGACATTAGTGTTCTGGCCAGTGAGCTGCAGCCATCTCTTGAGTCCAATGGTATGCTATGCTCGCTCTTTTCTCTTGGGCCACTATTTTACTTATGCTGGATCTTGATAGGCACAGTTATTGAGCATGCTGGTAGTTGAATACTTGCCATTCATCTAGACTAGTACTATCCATTACTTTCCTGTACTTATCAAAAAATGCTGTATGTTATGTCTGTGTGTTGTTGCCTTCATGCATAGGAACAAAGTTAGATCTACCAAGTTCTCTACTACAGTGGGAATCTAGGTTGCTGTATTAGCTAGGTGTGTCTGTTCCCTTGTATGCTAGGTAGCTATTGGTCTTTGGATTGCTGGTATCACTGGTGTGGCTTACTCAGGTGCTATGAGTTGCTTGGATGCTGGCCACTACTTTGGGCAAGTCTGGTGTAGTCTACTCTGGCACTATGAGTTGCTAGGATGCTTGACATTGCTTTGAACTAATATGGAATTGTGCAAATACTATGGGAAGCTATGAGTTACTAACACATTTTTGTGTTTTGCTGATGCATGTTTTGCAACTGGAAACTGCAGCAGCTAATCCCTTCCCTAACTGACAACAACCTCCTACCTCCACCAGTTGATGTCAATGGTGACCTTGAGTATGAAGTATTGGAGATACTTAGACTCTAAGGAGGACTGCCATTGCTGCCACTGTCAACTGCTTGTACCTAGTCCACTGGGCTGGTTATGAGAACACCAATGAGGAAACATCTTGGTTGCTTGCAACTGAGCTAGATCATGCCTCTGACATCATCTCCACTTTCCATGAATGTTACCCACACAAACCTGGCCTGTATCAACCTCCACTATAGTACTCCACATGTATAACCCTCCTCCACAGACCAACTCCACCCCTTTCTGAAAGTCCCCTAAGTACCTCAGAATTTTCTCCACCTGTCCATCTCACTTCTCAGAATTAAAGTAAAATTCACAAAGTCTATTTTTGTAGTAGTACAAAAAAGATATACAAGTCAAAAAAAATCTACACTACTCCTCCATCTCCTGTCCTTCACCACCTTCTTGCTCTCCTCCAACTTCCTCCTCTTCCTCATTGTCCCCCTCTGTGCCTTCATCCACCTCTTTGATTTTGTCCTCCACCACCTCCAACTGCAGCCTCTTCCAGCCTCTGCCTGTGTGCTCAAACTTCAGCCACCCTGGCCTCATGCACATCCTCTCTCCTCCTCATTTCTGCCCACTCCACCCATGCACAGTACAGGTCTGAACTTGTTGGCTGTCTGCTTGGCAGCCTCTGCCATCTGCTCTGCTGCCTCTGCCATCCTCTCAAATGCCATCATGGCCCTCTCATGGGCCTCCACATGCCTCTCCACAGCCTGCAGCTACTGCTCCCACTCCCACTCTGCCCACTGCAAGGTTCTGGCCCTTGAGGGGCCCTCATGCACTATCACTGGCCTGCCTTGTGCTTGTCATCTGCTTCCTCTGTCTCTGCTGCCTTCTCCTTCCCTTTTCCTTGCAGCTGTTTCTTCTTCTCCCCTCAGGAGCTTCCCATACCTGCCCTCTTCCATGATGGCCCTGCCACTGCCTCCTCCCACACCCAACTACAAACCTTTTTCTTGTTTTGGCAGGGTGCACAGGTCCTTGCCTTGCATAGCCCCACTGTCTTGCTGGTTATACACCACTCACAGGGGGGCCTCCTGCTCGCAGTAATCACCAGAGAGGCCCCTGGGACCCTCTGGGCAGGGTTGGTGTCATACACTGCACCACATAATCCGAAAGCTATAAAAAAAAAAAACCTGTGTCAGCTCTGCCTGGTTCAGTGTTACTGCTATGCACCTTTGGGTGGCCTCATTCCACCTGGCCTGGGCCCTCTCCTCTGATGCTACCTTCTGTCTTGTGGCCTCTTCCTCCACTGCCTTCTTCCTCCAAGCCTCTTCCTGCTCCCTCTGCCTCTGCTCCACCTCCAGTCACTCCTTCTCCTCCCTCTGCCACTTGGCCTTGCACTCTGCCTTGTGCTCCCTCTCCCTCTGCTCAGTCTCCTCTTGTTGGCATGCCTTCTCTGCAGACTTCTCCTGCTCAGTGTCAGTGGAGTCATCAGTGAGGATGACTAGGTCTTCATCCATGACTTGGGAGTAGTCACAGATGTGGCCAGGGGTTGGCTGGGGGGTTTTACTCTGATGCTGGGCAGACATGATGATGGGGGGGTAAAAGATACAAAGGTTCAGTGCCCTAACACATGTTTTTAAGTGGTTTTTTGAACTCTGACAGAGCTCCACTGTGGCTCAACCCATTGTCCTTGAGGCATCAAACAGTTTCAAATAATCAACTCATGTTGATCTCATGCTGTACATGCAGCCTTCAGGGGTTCAAGCCTTAAGGGGGGGGCACTGTCATGACCATGCATTTATCCTAGGTCTCCACTCACTCTGCACCCTACTCCACTGGTCATCCCACTCACTCTGCACCAACTCCACCTGTCCTCTGTTGTTTGCAAGCCTTCTCCACCCTGACTACTGTCAGACTTGGTACCAGACTGCTGTCAGACCATGTGGACCATCTTCCAGTGGGTCATGTGACCCATGCCAGTCCAGCCCTCAGACTTCCCCTTGACATTGTGCAGTCAGGTACTCTGCAGCACATGCACCTCATGGTTCAGTGCCCAGACTGTTTCCTTTTTGGTTTGTTCTATGTTACCCATTGTATGTTCTCTGTCTCCCATTTATTTGTCATCCAGGAAGTTTTTACTTGAAAATTTAGAAGTCTCTGTATGTCAGTTCCAATTCTGGTTACTGTACCTCTGTAGTAGTATAAAAGCCTGTACAGTACTCTGCTGTTCTCCAGTACAAATATCACCTATGTTCCTACTCCATATCTCTCTGTCTTCTGTCTGTCAGAGTTATCTCCAATCTTCCATCTGGTCTCTTCCTCTGAAATACAAGGGCTGAGGATTGTGCAAGGGGGTAGCACATGAGCTAAACCTGACACCCTCACTCTGCTCCACTTCTGCCTCAGTGGACTTCTTTCCTGCTGATCCTCTGCTAGTCAGAGTTCCATTTGACCATGTCAGACTTGCTTCTGCACCTCTCCCCAGACCTTGTTTCGCATCAGAGCTGGTTGGAGTAGGCCCAGACTTGACAGATAACAATGGAAGGAATGATGTCAGCCTGCAAAAACAGCATTCTGTGGATCCCAATAGGCAGAACCCTTCCAAATGAGCAGCCTGCATGATATGCATGGTTGACTAGTGACCATCTTCGACCTGATACACAGCATTCAATGGGTCCTGATAGATGGAACCCTTCAAAATGAATGGACTGTGCAAGATGCAAGTCTGAGAGCCATTGGTCATCAGAAGCAAATGCAAAGCAATATTCTCATCATGCTAATGTAGCAGCCAAGGTATGCCCATAAGTGGGACATTTGTGAATGAGTGGAGTGTGAGATAAACAAGGTTCAATTTGGGGAAAACTTTGCATTCTGCTAATGCAGGAGCCAATGTATTTGGATAGGCAGAACCTTGGCAAATGTGCAGATAAATATTTCTCAGCAGATTGAAATGCAACCAAGAGTATTCAACAAGTTACTATTGCCAATTTACCATCTGCAGTGAGCAATAATTGTTCTGTTTCTCAACAATGGTTGGTTGCCATTCATCTCAGCCTGTGGATGCATGAGCCTTTCAAGACAAACAATATGCATACCCATATCATACCAGACATATCCATGATGGAGATCAAACATGCTGAAGGTGAGAGAATGGGTTAGCTTGCTGCTGGATGTCTCCTGTGAATTACCCACAGACCTGCCCATCAGGTACAGGGTGGAATGCAAGGGTGGGGGACTGAAACTGCAGGGCTACATTGAGTTAACATTTAACTACAAATCCTTCTCCAGGAACAAACTGAATATCAGTGGCATTCATGGGCTTCCATTTGCATTCAGCACACTCTGCCAACCATTTGGATGCTATATTAGCTGACACAGGTGAAACAAGATGATCGGTATCAATAACAGTATGGATATGATTGGGCCAGCTAACTTACAGCCTGGATGCAAATTGGGAGCTAATCTGCCTTTGGGTGGGATCCCATCAAAGGTATCAGCCTGATTGGATATTTTGGTTGCTTCATGGAGGTCTGAATGAATTCCTTGGCCTGACCACACTAGTACTGAAATGCATTGAGACCAAACAAGGGCATGAAAAAACTTAGTAGCCAACCCTCTATTATACATCATTATACATCATACCACATCATACTCCATGGAGTCACAGTATGAATCAGACACCTGTGACCAGATGGAAAGAGATGATGCTGATGGTGAGCAAGATATAGAACCATCAGATGTGGGGGAAAGGGAGGAAGAAATGTTTGAAGTGGAAGAGTTGGAGATCCTTGGACACTGACACCAGGAATGGAGGCAAGCAGGGAAGAAGAAGAAGCCTGCAGTCCTACTATCCATATGGGAGGAGGTGCAGGGATTGGACAGGAACAAGGAGTTGAGAGAGAGTGAAGTCCAGACCAAGTGCAAGGTATGCTCTAAAAGTTCTGATGTGGATGCTCACAATTCAAAGCACCCTTGTAACTAATACAAGATTGGTTGAAAAAGCCTCTCCATTCAAAGAAGCCCCACATTACCTTAGATCCAGTTACAAATACTCTGTGCAGGCAGTGGTCTGCAAATTGTACCAAGTGCAAATACAGGAGAAGCTTGCAAAAATGAAAGTAGAAGAAGGCAAAACTCATGGCACCAAGCAGATCCAACAGTACCAGAATGTGTTGACAGCTTCTATTCAGGATGACCTGACCAAGGAACAATTGGTTGCAGCTGAAGATGTAGCAGAAAAGTAGAATGGGCAGGAAGGCCCTGTGCCAGAGACAAAAGCAAGGTGTGATTGTATGGGGTCAACTGCCCAGTCTTCAACTTATTCCAGTCCCCAGGAATGCAGCCAAGTATGGGTACAAGTATGTCCAAAACTTTGCAATGGAGATGTGGAGGTATTGTGGAATGCACATAGTGTGTATGGCCAGGTGGAAAAATGAGGAGGGGACTATACAGGCATGCATGTGAGTCCATCATATTTTCCTCTAGTCCTAGGTGAGACTCATGCCATGAGAGTATGGACTTCAATAACAAAATCAAGGATGGGATCCCCTTCAATGATGT